CTCTGGACGAGAGGACCGGAGATCGGGCAAAGGGGGCAGCGGCTTCGTGGGTTGGATCGGACAAAGACAGAGGAGATCGGGGCTTCAGCTGAGTGGGGATCGACGTCGGACAGGGAGGTCGGAGGGTTGTGAAGGATTTGGCTTCGGGATCATGTGGGAGAGGAGAGGGGTTTTGGTCGGATGTGGGAAGGACTGAGCAGAGGTATTCGGGAGGAGTTCGTGGAAGCTGGAGTGCGAAGTGGAAGAGCAGAGAGCCGAAGCTCTCATTTGGGTCGCTATTTATCGACTCTTGGCGAGGTGCGACCGAGGCAGTTTCACGGGATTTACGGGATCTGATCGCGAATGGCGCCGAACAGGTACGAAGCTGCGGGATTTCTGTCTGAGTTCGGCAGGATTTCAGCGGAAAATCGGGACTACGTGGATTTTGTTTTTTTTTTATTTCTTCTTTCTCATTTTTTTTTGCTGTTGTTCATTATCTGATGGTCAACAATGTGATATCTAAGGCTTCGATCACTTCAACTAGGTAGAAAAGAAGTTACATAAAATAACAAGGTTTAAAAGGACGAAATCAGGAATTAACGCAATTGACTTAGCGAGCCTTAAGGTGGATCGATAAGATATAAACCTCAACATAGAAAAATAAAAAATGCATAAACTTATAAATAATCATAAAATTGACAAAATAAAATAAAATATCAATATATTTTTTATTCATCATCATAAAGATATAAGATACAATTCTCAATATTAAATTTCATTATAAAATGAAAGTTTAAAATGAGATTCAAAGTAAATACACATTTAAAACTTAAATACACCTTAAAGATTAGGATCCACCATAGCCTCGTCCTTGCTTTCATCCTTGAATTCTATCTCATTGTTGTCTTTTAAATCTTTTTCAATTATAACCTTTTTTTAACTCACCATATTAATTAACAGTAGTTTCAATGTAATATAAAATAAAATAATAAATTGATAACACGACAAAGTAATCCATTATATTTAAATCACCATTTGATTTTTTTTTTCAAAGCTTGAACTCTACTTTGCTACGTTTTTTAAATTATTTGTGAAGTAGAAGTTATTACTAATTTAGTATTTATTTTAATATCAACATGATATCTTCATTCTTCTCATCATCAAATGCATTCCTCCATTTTCAATTGTAAATCTTTTACTATTTTTTATCATTATTCATTCATATTTAAATAATTTATCATTAACAATCAAAGAATTTATTTCATCATCATCAATTATTTACATTTATAATTTGAAATGTTTATTTTCCAAATTTTTATTAAACATAACACAACCATTCAATCTTGATCTTTCATCCTATAGCTAATTGGTTAATAGAATATATATATATATATATATATATATAATTATATAACTATATATTAATAATACAAGTACATATAAAAAATAATATAACTTAACCAGAATAAGGCGTCGCCTCAAAAAGCCTTAAGGCGTACTCATTTAAGAAAGGCGTTAACCTCACCGGAACTAGTGAGGCTTAAGCCTTGAAATACTCATTGTGCGCTCAATTCAAGTCGCTTCATGGCATGAGCTTCGAACATTTTTTTAAACCATGTAAAATGTCAATGGCAAGAGATGAGAAATCCTAATACTTTGAATGGCTTAGATGTATAAGAAATGAAAATTCCCTAGTTTTAAAATCTTATAGGATACACGTACTATCCGCTTAGCAAGTTTATGTGTAGTTTAGTTAACCTACTTAGATTTGGACTAAATTAGCAATACCTAGTTAGATTACTCGTGCTAGATTTTGAGCTAAACTACCTCCCTTGATAGAAATTGAATGAACTCTTACATAAGCAAGCCTTGCAAAAAGTGAGAGAATAAGAAAATTAAACATTTAAGATAATCTCGAGCATTTATTTCTTAAACATTAGGCTCGATTAGCGTTCTACATGACAAAGAAGTATGCATAAATTTTATTATAAGTTTAAAAAATACTCAACTCCCAAGATAAAAGCCTCTATTAAAACTCATAAATTGCTTAGCTATATTTGACTTCCTATGGGCTCTTTTTTCCACCTCCTTGCTCAATGTCAACGCTTCACCTGAAGATTCAAATCAATAGGATAAGTGAAACTTATTGGAAAAAATGCCCTAAGAATATAGAAAATTTGAAAAGAAAAATTATTTTTCCCACCTCCCATTTTGTTTTATCAGGATTACCAAATACTCGTGTCAATCATAACATGTATCTTATGTAATCGTATCATGTCAATTATGTAATTTTATCAATACTATATATTCTTAATAATATGCATATGAAAGCACTATATGCAGAGAAAAGTCATCTAACTATCTGTAGTACTTTTCATGTATCCAGTCCTGTAGGCAAGTCAGGTGGCTTTCATATCAGTAAGTCGTCACTTCGTGTCCATCGACATATCATATCATATTAACCATTTTTCATATCATTTAGGATTACACGCAATCTTGTTTTAAAGGAAAGTCAGTCGGCCACCCTCCTGTAGAGGGTAACATGTCTTCAGCTAATTTAAAATCAGTCAATCATTTCTAGCCAGTTTTTCTTACATACACATATTTTACAAACTATAATATAAAAAATATATAATAATACACTCAATGTTCAGTTCAACGTGTCATTTTAATGCATGTAAAATTTGCATATGAATTAAAATTAATGAAATTCATAAGAAAATATAATTTATTTTTTTCACATGCGTATATCTACAATAGTTATATTATAACGAGCAGGCATATATATATATATATATGCATATAAAAAAAATTTTAATAATATTTTTTCAAAATTTTAAATTTATCCAAATTAGAATATTTTTCCCACAACAACATCAAGCCTTTGTTCCACTACGTTGGGTCGGCTACATGAATCCTTTTTTTCGCCATTGTGTCATGTTAAAAGTTAAATTATTATTTAAATCTAATAGGAAAATATCATTTCTAATATTTTCTAACTAAGTCTTTTTAGGTCTACCTCTACCTTTCTTAACATAAGTCAAATCTAATACCCCAACTTTCCTAACTGGGTCATCAAAAGGCCTCTGTTTAATGTGACCAAACCATCTAAGGAGACTATTTCTAATTTTATCTTCCACTTGAGCTACTCCCAACCCTTTCACGTATATGCTCATTTTGTATCCTATCTCTAAGGGTAAAGCCACTCATCCACCTAAGCATCGTCATCTCTGCAATACTTAACTTAGTATTATGCTTCTCTTTTAATGGCCAACATTTGGCACCATAAAGCATTACAGGTCTCACCACCATCTTATAAAATTTTCCCTTAAGTGTTAGTGCAACTTTTCTATCGCACAATAAGCCTGATGCATCCCTCCACTTCATCCATTCAACTTGAATTCTACTGATAATATCCACATCTATTTCATCATCACTTTGAACAATAGATCCAAGATATCTAAAATGTGTACTCTTATTAATGACTTGATCGCCCAAGGTCACAATCCCCTCACTAGATTTATTGCTACTAAAATCACACTCCATATATTCAATTTTAGAACTACTCAATTGAAAACCTTTAGACTCTAAAGTTGATCTCCATAATTCAAGTTTACCTTCAACTCCCTCTCTAGCCTTATCAACAAGAAGAATATCATTAGCAAAAAGCCTACACCAAGGTACATACTCTTGCAAATGTCTAGTGAGAACATCCATGACTAAAGCAAAAAAGATATGGGCTTAAGGGTGATCATTGATGTAATCCAACCGAAATAGGACAATACTTGGTCAAACCACCTTGTGTTTGAACACAAATAATAGTTCATGCGTACACATCTTTATTGATTTAAATATAAACATTATTAACTCCTTTCTTTTCAAGATTTCTCCATAGCACTTCTCTTGGAACTTTATCATATGCTTTATATAAATCAATAAATATAATATGTAGATCCTCTTTATTATCTTTATATTTCTCTATCAAACCTCTCAATAAATGTATGGCTTCCATAATAGACCTACCCGGCATGAATTCAAATTGATTTTGAGAAACATTAGTATCACGTCGCAACCAACGCTCCATAACTCACTCCCATAGTTTTAAAGTATGACACATTAACTTAATTCCTCTATAATTCGCACAATTCCTATGCATCACTTTTATATTCTTAAAAATATGAATTAACACACTCATTCTCCACTCATCTGACATCTTTTTAATATTCAAAACAATATTAAAAAGTTTAGTAAAGCCAAAAAATTCCTTCATCTCCTAAGCATTTCTACACCTCTATTGGAATATCATCAGGTCCAACAGCTTTTCCATACTTTATTTTCTTTAAAACTTCTCTAACTTTGATCTTACTAATACGCCAGTAAAAATAAAATATTTTATTTTCAGTTAGGGTGCTAAAGTCACTGAAGTCAATCATATTTTCACATTCTTCATTAAAAAGTTTAGCAAAATATCTCATCCACATTTGTTGAATATCATCTTATATAAAAAAGTACTTTTTGATCTCATTCTTAATGCATTTCACTTGAACTAAATCCTTACTACTCAAATATTTATTTGATAACTTATATACATACAATTATATATATATATATAATATATATATATATATATATAATTCTCACTCCTTAGTATCTAATCTATTATAAAAATCATTAAATGCTAAGCTCTTACATCGCAAATAGCTTTCATAGATTCCTTACGAGCCTCTTTATAGCTTTCCCAATTATCAGAATTTTTATATATAAACAAATTTTTAAAATAAATCTTCTAATTTTTTATCTTTTCTTGTACATTTGGATTCCACCACCAACTATTTTTTACTATTAGGAGCTTTTCTCAACTCCAAGGATATCTTTTGCAATATTTTCAATATCGCTAGATACTTTTTCCCATATAACATTAGCATCCTCATGTACAAACAAAATCTTAAGATCTAAAATCTTACTCTAAAAATACTTTTGTTAATATTTTTAAATACCCTCATCTAATTCTAGAATATCATTTTATTTTTTTTATTTTCTGCCCCTTTATGTTAAAGTTCAAAACTAATAATTAATGTTGGATACATAAATTTTCACTCAGAATAATTTTACAATCTTTGCAATCTAAACAATTTAATTTTCTTATAAGAAAATAATCAATCTGCGTTTTACTATATCTATTTTTATAAGTGATAAGATACTCATCTTTTTTCTTAGATATAATATTAGCTATTAAAAAATCAGAAGCCAAAGAAAAATTTAAAATGATCTTTCCATCTTCATTTGTATTTCCAAATCTATGGACACCATGAATACTTTTAAAATCATCTATCTATCTTCCAATATGTCAATTTAAATATTCTCTAATAAAAACTCTTTCTTCAAGAGGTATCTTTTATATTTATTCTTTTAAGTCATTTCAAAATTTTAATTTTAATTTCATATCCAAACCTACTTGAGGAGCATAAGTACTTATAATATTAACAATCTTAGCATCGACAACAATTTTTAAAGTTATAATTCTATCTCCAATTTTGTTAATTTTTATAACGTTATCCTTCAAACTCTTATATATAATCATACATACACCATTTCTAGTACGACTCCTACCCGAAAATCATAATTTATATCCTAAACTATCAATCTCCTTAGCCTTCTCTTCAAACCATTTTGTTTCCTAAATTCACAGAATATTTATCTTCCTATGAATCATAATATCTATTAATTCCATTAATTTTCTTATATGGGAGCCTAAATACCAAAGTTCCTATCCTAATTCTAGTTTCAATGAATTAGCTTCTTTTCCCACATCTTTTCTTGATATGGGAACCCTTGTCTATTTAACATTGCACCCGAGCGCCAGTGTAGCGGCCTTTGTACACTTGTCGCTATATTCAGGCCATAAAGCGTGTTGCTTACAGGAAACACCCTAGCATTAATACAATTTTTTAAAATATTCAAAATATTTTTCCCAAATTACAATATTTGATAAAAAAATTTAATATATTCTAGTCAAAATGCTAATATTGAAGACATCTATCATATACCAAAAGTTATGTGGTAAAAGTTTTCTAAAAACGAATATATTACAAATTTTGTATGTTTTAACCAAATTAAAATGCATAAAACACAAAATATGCAAAACCATTAAAATCAGAGTTAGAGTAATGATAGTCTAACTCGAGACGAACAATTTTTCAAATAGAATCGATTGATGAAAATTGCTCTACGGCCTTTAAATCTTAGATTTCTTTTCTCTCTCAATTTTCTCTCTTAATTTTCTCTAATTGCTCTTTGTTAGGCCAAATGAGGGATTAAAAGGAATTTCATGAATTTATGTGTGGATTAGGATATTTAGATTAAAATAATAGTATAGTATTATATAATTATATAAATCTTTTAGTTTTAAATGCAAAGAGTATATAAATCTTTTTATATCTTCAAATTCAAAACAAAAAAAATTATAGAAAAACATTCATAAAAAGCCTATCATTTTGAAAATTTTGATAAAATCGATTTGTAAAATGGACACCTAACGGACCCAAAACCCCCACTTATACTGACAAGTATTAAGTTTTGATATTATCCCTAAAATTAGGAGGAAATTATTATAAATAAAGCATAATAATATTTATCATATATGGAAGACGGTTTTCAAATTTGTCTTATAATGACTCCTAAAAAATTATTTGATTGGACCAAAATTTGGGTTGTTACCCCCATCATAGCATTAATATGGAACTTATTCATCATAGGTTAGGTGTGTTACCCTTGATAGATTCAGGTTCTAAATTACTCCGATGCTAACAATGAATGTGAATAAAAACCAAAACCGAAAGATTTTTAGAGTAAGAGAAGAAATTATTTGAAATTACTAGATGGACAAGAGGGGGGGGGTGAAATGGTGAATTGTGAAAACTTTATTGCAATAATTAAAACCTAAGCAGGAGTTCTAATTTTTTGGTGTTTTTAAATTTTTAACATGAAAATTTAAAACAACTTCTAAGGCAACAGGCAACAATAAAATCTTTTTCTTTCACAATTTTTCCAAGCAAATATTATGAAATAAAAATGCACGCAAAAAGAAAAACAGTAAGGAAAAAGCACACCGAGATTTTTATAGTGGTTCAGTCAAACCATGACCTAACGTCCACTCCCGGAGTCCTCCGCTCCTGGAATTTCACTACCAACAATAGCTCTCCTTTTGCCCCCCTCGGCAAGGCGGAGAAGCCGTTACAATACTCCCTTTCACCAACCCGGCGTGGCGGAGTGCCAAGCGCTGTTTTCACCCTCCTGGTGATGGCAGAGAACCTTCTCGTTTTTCTCCCTCCTGGAAAAGGCAGAGTACCTTCGAGGTCAACGGATGTAGACGAGTCTCCCCCTTAAAAAGCCTCCCACAAGTTCTTCCCGGGCCATAGGAGGAGCAAGTTGCAGCAAGATCGGAGCAATCGTGATATCTCCCTCACACCTCTTCTCCCTCACCAAGCTCACCTTCTCCTTCCTCTCTCAACCCCTCAAACTTCTCAAGAGCTCTCTCTAGGATTTGCTCTCTACTCACGTTTTCCTCTTCTGTCTCTCTCTCAAAATATGACAAATTTTACACATAAAAACGGGCTCCAAAATCCCTGAGATTTCAAAAGTAGCCGTTACAATCGTACAGTACGATTATTGGTCGTACAATACGATATGTACAAACTAGCTTCGTCCTGGTACGAAGGTGTACGAATAGTTCAAAAACTAATCGTACAGTACGATAATATATCGTACGGTACGATTCACAACACACTACTCGTACAGGACGATAGCCGAGACGATCAAATGTCGTCTCTGTTCATCGTATGGTACGATCTACATCATACCGTACGAATAGTGAAAATCAAGGCATCGTCCAGGACGAATTCCGGGACGATCAAATATCGTCTTTGTTCATCGTATGGTACGATAGTAATCGTACAGTACGATGAGGAAAAAAAACACAGGATCGTTCAGGACGATCTCCGGGACGATCATAATTCGTCTCTGTTCATCGTATTGTACGAAGGGGTTCGTACAATACGATTTTCAATTTGTAATTAAGCCTTGATTTCTTGCATTAATCACGGGTTAAATTAAGTATGTATTTAAAAAAGATCGTTCCGTACGAACGTAGTCGTACAGTATGAACGACGCAAAATATCATACTTGACTTATCATGACGGCTAGAGTTTTGGATTTGAAACAGATCGTACCGTACGATAGTATTCGTATAGTACGATGTGTTCACAGAACATGTGTTATAATAGAAGATCGTACAGTACGAAATAAATTCGTACAGTACGATTACCAGGGAATGAAAAACTATATTTCTTACTTCTAAAAATCCTCTTCCCCTGTGTGTGTGCATGATTGCTCAGACTTACCTGCAGTTTGTGGTCAGACTCAAGAAAATAAAAAATAAAATAAATAACAAAATACATTGTCCGACTCATACTCCTAATCCAACTAGTCTTGAGTCTTCCCGTTGTCCTGAGTGGCATGTGATCTTCCTGAAATGTTAGTACTCATGGACAATAGCAAACATTAAATGATATTCAATAAAAAGTAGTTTAGGCAATATTATTTGGCATCATCAAAATCTCAACCTCGGGGTCATGGGTCGCAACATGATTTTCTCTAGTATAGTATTTAATCATAGATTTTTCATATTTTGGGTTTGAATTTTTCATTTCTAAGTTGATTTCTAGCTTGCGAGTTATCCAACTTCTTGACTATTGGCATCTTTGTGGTAGCTACTACCATCTTTTTTCTAGCAAAATCCTTCACATATTTTTTGCCACTATTGTTGGATGAATTTTAGCTTTCAATATTGGTGAAGGGCCAATCAGCTTGTAAGAGAGATTCCATGTTGAATGACCTGTCAACCTCATAGGGAGTATAACTTTAATGTCTTTGATAAAATCTTAAAAATTACAATGAATAGATACAAGAGTAAAAATGTGAGATTTTATGATTGAATTTTATTTCTTTGGTCTATATAAAGATAATGGTAATGGGCTGTACATAAATAGGTGAATAAGTAATTACATATGAAAGAAACAAATATGTAAATTAGTCCTTAATTCTCGAATCCATAACTAACTACGCAACAAATATAGAAAGTTGTTATCCACAGATTGATGAGTGTTTTATTTGAAAGGTCATTATCCGCATATTGTTGAATTACCATTGATGGAAAGTTGTTGTCCATAGATTGCTGGATTGCTGTGATAGAAATGTGTTGACCACGGATTGAGGATTATTTCAATACTTAGTTTTCCCTACCTTATGATTATTTGTGATATAATGATCTAGGAAATTTAAAAATGTCTTATTCCCATAACATTGTCCTTAAGTTATTGCTTTTAAGGAACATGTTAGTGATTTATCTATTTAATCTTAATTAATAAAAAAGGTAAGAGATCTGTTGAAAACTAACAGTTTTAATGGCTTTAGATGTCATTTAAGTGATAGGTTTACCATCATTTGTTACTTTCAATCCAATCTTTTCCAGTGACTCTCATTACGTTGTAGTGGATTTACAGGCCAAGTTCCTATCTCCTGATGAGTTGAAGATAAAAGAACTCGTCAATATACTTACAGAGAAGAAAATTGGTGTCGTTGCACACTTCTACATGGATCCAGAAGTTCAAGGCATCCTAACCGCTGCACAGAAGCAGTGGCCTCACATTAACATATCTGATTCGTTAGTAATGGCAGACATAGCTGTCAAAATGGCAGAAGCTGGATGCCAGTACATTACCGTGCTTGGTGTGGACTTCATGTCAGAAAATGTCCGTGCAATACTTGATCAAGCTGGCTTTGAGAAGGTATCGAGGACTTCATGGTGCTTTCCTTGCATTTGTGGGTACTGCGCATATTATGTTTTACTGAAACAGAGTTGGTTCATATATATTAAACATACGTTTTTATCTTGTTTCTTTTAATCTTTGAATTGTCAACTAGGTGATAACATTGTAAGATGCACAACTTATTATGTTTTGTTTTCAATGCATTTCTTCAATCTGTCTAGATGTTGCTCTACTTGATTTCATTGTAATGTGTTTCCTTGTACCAAGGCATAGTTTTCCAAAATAAGTTCTACTTGGTTTGTCTTAAACTGTAATTTGAGCTTTAGGTTTGAAAGAAAGTTCTGAATATCATAAATTTGACCCAGGTTGAAGTCTATAGGATGTCAAGTGAGCAAATAGGTTGCTCATTAGCTGATGCTGCAGAAAGTCCGATGTATGTGCATTTTCTTGAGACAGCTTCCAAATCACCACCTTCTTTGCATGTTATTTACATTAATACTTCCTTGGAGACGAAAGCTTATGGACATGAGATGGTGCCTACAATTACCTGCACTTCATCTAACGTAGTGCAAACTATCCTTCAGATATGTAACCTGAGAGATCATCTTATAGCATACTACTATGTTGTCTTTAATATGCTTATGATTGTTTCATATACTGAAATCCTTAGCTCTTCTTTCAGGCCTTTGCACAGGTGCCCAATTTGAATATCTGGTATGGTCCAGATTCTTATATGGGTGCAAACATCACAGAATTGTTCAACCAGATGGCTGGCATGACTGATGAGGAGATTGCTGAGATACACCCAGAACATAATAGGAACACAATCAAATCTTTATTACGTCAACTACATTATTATCAGGTACATGGTGATGCAACATGGCCGACCCCACGTAGTTGATGTTGTTGTATAGTGATACAACATACATGCTTAGTTAATTTTACGCAGTAATTAGAAGAGTTAATTTTACAATTTGCTGCATTAGCTGAAATTTCTATCACCAAATTTCGTAGAGTATATGTGAATTGATTTATCAACTACTGAGTTAAAAATGTATTTAATGAGGATGGTGCTACATCATCTAATCCTTGTTCATATCCAAATTCTCTGTTTCTTATACAAATGCAAGCACTTACACCAAATATAATAAAATAAGAGTGGCCAGGTAGTTTAAGTAATAAAGATTATTGGCAAGGTCCCGAGATCGAATCCTATCCATATAACATTTGTACTCTGGCACTTAAATTCCAAAATAATAATAATAATAATAATAATAATAATAATAATAATAATAATAACAGTATTAAAATTTATATCCTTGTCCATTTAACTTGAAGATATTGTATTGATATTTATATTTCATAATAAAATATTACCTAGTGTTGCAGTTTGTTTAGCCATCTCAGGCTGTGTATTTGTTGAACTATCAGACAAATTAGTTTCACATTTGCCTACTTGGAAATCAAAATGATTAAATTTTAGGCTTGAATAATCCTCAGTGCAATTCACCCTTTATGTGACCAAAATTTATTTGCTTATAGATTTTGGACTAGATTGGTTATGAAATTTAATGTGTGATACGGAATTTCAATTCAAAATCACAATTTTTTTATTCTCAATACTACAGAAGTTTTTTTGTTTCTCGTTATAATCCAAAATCCAAACTCTCAAAATCCAAACTCTCAAAATCCAAACTCTACTCTAGATTTTAGATTTTAGATTGATTTTTTTTGGCTTTTAAATGATTTAAGAAGCATAAATGAAACATAAAGGTGGCACAATCAATTATATTGGTGTTGGGGGAGTTGGGGTTTAGTGAAAAGAAAAAGAAAAGTCATTTTAAGTTGTTGGTGATGGCATTTAGGCAGCAATTGCATGAATGCTAGGCTGAGTGCAATCAATGAAGACATAAGGGCTGAGATGCAATTAAACTAGAGGAGCCACAATGAATCATCAAATGCTGAGTGGATTTTCATTGTAAATGTAACATGTTTGCTAGTGAGTGAGTGGACATTCGATATTGGAGGGGGTGAGGTTGTGTGAATGGATAAATAAATCTCACTTCGTTTGAAATATAAAGTGATGTTGAACGTTAATAATCAGTTAATGTCTACCTATTTTGATTACCAAACACTATTCAAGCTAAATGAATGTACATTAACCTCTCCTTACATTTCATATTTTTAGCATTGGAGTGGTCGTGCTTGGTTCGATTCAATCAACAGTCCTTAGGGAGAGTATGTCAATGCCCATGGGAGTAATTGTGGACTGACAAGGTGATAGTGTAACACTTCATAGTACTCCTTAACAGTACTGTAGAGTGTAATATGCATAACATAACGTTTTCCTCATTAAACATCTGATACTATTCCTTCTTTGAAAAATCATATATAACATTCAATAACATTTCTTTTGTTACATCAACGGAAGCATCTAATAACTTAAAAACTTAATAAAGACATACTTATAGAGCCACAAATGAAATTCAAACTTATACATTGCATAACAGTCTACATACCTCAAATATAAACTCACAAAAAAAGAGAAACATTAACATATAAAATTAAAAATACTTGTAACTTAGCATGCATCGACCTTTTTTTCATTTTCTTGTAACAACCAATAAAAATTATACTAGTGAGCTATGATGCTCAATAAACTTTATAAATTAATTAACAGTTAAAATACAATAATTGTAATAAATCAAAACATTGAAATCATCATTGAATAAAATCATAATTAACATTTGACTTTACTTATTCTAAAGTTTACACTGAATATCAATTTTAGTATGTAAAAGATTTGACTACACTTTCTTAATAATATTCAATGGAGCCTAGGTAAACCTGACATTATCTCCATTAAATTACATAAAGGTCTCTTTTGTCTCTTTAGGGGTCCTTTTGCCCCACCTGTTATGCAGGTATAATATTCTTGTTAACCAATACACATAGAACAAAAAGGGGAGGAAGAAAGAAATCTAACGTGCAAACTTCATACCCGTCGGATCCACGAATCTGACTGAGATCGGCGCCGTTCGCATCATGTCTCCGCAAATCCAGCGCAAATTCTGCGATATCGCCTCGATCGAACGATCACAAGCGTTGTTAAATAGAGGCCGAACGCCCCACTGTTGGCACGCGATCTCCTCCACGCGAAACCACACTCGCTCTCTGCTTCTCCTCCCGACATCCCCAACCTCCTGCTCTCTCTCCGATCCCGACCTCCTCTAGCCGAGAGAGAGAAAGAGAGAGAGAGAGAGTGAGAGTGAAAGAGAGCCCTTACCGTTAGCCTTGCAGCCCGACCTCCTCCCATCCGTCCCCAAGCCGAACCCTCCTTGGCTGTCCGACTTTGCTCCTACGACTTTCCCTTCCTGTTAGGAACGGAAGTTACGACATTTTTTATCGGAAGCACCAACAGGAGCTCGCTAGCTGAAGGTAACTTTCTCCCCTTACACGCGCTTCTTCGGCTTGGCCCCGACCGAACTAGAGAGGAAGAGAGGGTGAGGATCTTTATTTTATTTTATTTTATAATATTATTATTATTTTATGTTATTTATTATAATATTTATTAATTATATTTGATAATTCTTTAATTATAATAATAATTAATTATATAATTGTAAATTAATTAATAATTAATAATTAG